CCAGGGAAGGCGTAGCAGTTGTATGTCCGCATTAGGTAAACAACTACAAGTATCGACCCGACTTCAACTGCATGTATTCGACGCAACTCCAACTTAGCGGCGCTTTTAACTTGAGGGGATAGCAGGCCGCAAATGCAAGTGTCGCCCCTACCGTGGTTGCATGTCTGCCACTATTCCTATTTTTCTACTTTTATTCTTGTAGGTCTTTTAGCTTTTCTAAATAATGGTGTTTTCTTATTTCAAACGCGCCACCAGCTGCACGGCGCCCCATGTGCAACCACATATGTTATAGTTTTGCATGCAACTGCAAGTGACGGCAGCAGCCGGGCATAACTTGGGTGTGGGTGGGGCGGGGGCCTAGGAGCTTGGGCGTCCTAGTACGTGAATTTATTTTTCAATTTTTCAATTTTGGTTTTGTACTTTCTATTTTTCTTTCTATTTATTTTTGCATTTTGGATTTGTGTTATTGTTTCTTTTCTAAATTAGTGATGCTTGGATATTTTTCTAAAAAATAATGCCACTCGATTTGCACACACTTGGGATGCACATAGTTTCTTAATTTATTTCCCTTTTTTTGTGTCAAAAATATGTGCTCAAAGAAATACAAACACACTACACTTTTTTTTAGAACAACTACACTTTTTTGTATGTATTAAGTTTGTTTGAGACACACTACAGTGTACATCGGCTTGGGAGAGTTGACACATACACCGATATATTTGACAGCCTAAATACAGCCTAATATTTATACACATTTGCACACCAGTCGGCCGCATATAGTTGCTTATTCATCGGTTACAGACAATTAAATTGTGTTCTTCTTTTTATTTTGTTTGTTTTTATTTTTCTTTGTTATATTGAAGATTTCTTTATCATTTAAAAATTCAAAATAATTTTTGAATAAAATGTTAAATAATGAACAAAAATATCAAGATGACACGAAAAGAAGAAACAGAGCATTAGCAACGCTAGCGTAAAAAAAATAAGAGCTGCACTGTGCTGCGTAGTAGTACACCCAACGGGACAATGTTCTAGCAATTCCAGTAAAAAACACAAATAAAAAAATAAAAAAATAAACACAAGCACAACGAATAGACGATGTCAATACAGCCCAGCAGCAGCCCACGTGTGAGCCAACACAGGCCGACGCAGGCCAACACATAACAAACAGGGAAACCGAACTCTAGGCAAGCGAACGAAGTTAAACATAGTTAAACGTGTGATCAGTTTATATATGACGTCAGTTGACTGAGACTTCGCGAAGTTTGAATCGACTGGGATCTAGACAGACCCAAAGTGAAAACTATCCACCACTAAATCACGTACGTCGGCAATGTGCCCCCACCCCCACCCCACCCACCACTGCTCCCATCCTGATCGGCTCCAGCTTGTGTCGCCTACATTTTTCCATCTCTTACTCTCTCGACATGTTGATCTTTGGAAGAAGCACAAGGGAGAAACACCCGCCCAGAGTCTCCCATTGCCACGTTGATTCCTGTCCGCTCCCACGAGCTCTGGACCTCTGCATGACCTTCTCTTGCATTTCTTGGCCCCAATGATATTTTTCTCTTTTTATTTCAATATGTTCCATTGATAGATTTATGTCATTATGAAACCCAACATTGCCTGTTACTTATCGTTCATTTATCATTCCCAAATCTTATTTTTCCATTAAAATCAACTACCTCCATGGTTATACCTTGTTGAGCTCTGGCTCCATGGTTATATGTGGACACCACATTAACCACATAAATATAACCCAAACGCCAGTGAACGTTGACATAATCCCACTTAATGACTAGTGGTTGGTGCGGGCAAGTCCTCTTGCATCCCGACGCCATTGTGAATAACTGAAGACGAATGTAGCCTACACCATTGCGATAATCATGCTGCATTTGCATAACTGGTTTCAAGACTAAAACATATGTGTCATAGTACCCTCACTTGTCCATAGGCAGTTGTAGCCTCTCTCTCTGTTTCACCGTCTCTCCTCTTCTAACTCTCTGTTACTGACTTTATTCTAAGAACGACTAGCATGAGCAATCTAGTTCGACATAAGGCAACACAAATTTCAAATTTTCAATTATATGCAAGGCAAAAGGCGAAACAAAGGTACAATCCAATGCAAGAACCTGCAGACAAACAACAACGCACGATATCAAGGGCTCACTTGTTGATCCCCTAAAAAAACATGAGTAGCCTATTAGTGTGTTCAATTTGCATCTTATCATGAATATAATTTTGAATGGTGCTTGGGATCCTGTAAAAATCACCATCTTGCAAGTGATAACTTCTGGATGGCGTTGCAGATACGTGCTATAAAGTTTAAGTGTATTCAAAAAATAGTAGTAAGAAAAAAGAATGGAGATACAGCACATGACAAAAATGTTGAACTACTAAAAGTGGCAGCAATTCAAAAAAAATAAAATAAAAGCAGAACATAGCAGCTAATCATGATCAATTAGGGGAGCACCGAAGCAGAAACAAGCAAGCAACAAACATCATGATCGAACTGCACTTCAAAACCGAAACAAGCAAGGAAACATCATAATCGCTTGCTGCTAGCCGACGAGAGCGGCATCCCGAAGACGGTGACTATTTACTAGACTCCTCAGTCAACAGCATTGTGTGTTGCAGACTCACCATGGTGGGTCAGTCCTGCAAGCTCCACCATGCCGAAGGGCAAAGGCGTCAGCCGTGTGCCACAGATGAACATCAATGAACATAGCAGAACCACAGATGAACAAAAAAATAAACAGAGCCAGAGAAGATCAAAAGTAGGGGAACACCAAATTTTAAACTTAAAAAACGAGAAGCTCTAAGCATCAAGGGTTCCAAACCAACAAGCAAACATCATCATCCATCATGTCTTCCAGATCAAACGACTCCAACGAACCACTACTACTACTTGCAGCTAGATGACACGACGACAGACGACTGGCACCACCGAGCGGCATCCAGAGGACACCGAGACAGAACACCCATCAAGTAGCGCGCAGACATTGGACGAACAGCTTAGTCCACCTCCTCGATCTTGGGGCCGGCGCCGCCAGCACCGGCGGGCATGTCCTCGTCCATGCCCATGCCGCCGCCCATGTCCGGCGCGGCGCCCTGGTACATCTTGGCGATGATGGGGTTGCAGATGCCCTCCAGCTCCTTCATCTTGTCCTCGAACTCGTCGGCCTCGGCGAGCTGGTTGGCGTCCAGCCAGCTGATGGTGCCCTCGATCGCCTCCTCAACCTTCTTCTTGTCGTCGGCGCCGAGCTTGGAGGCGATCTTGTCGTCCTTGACCGTGTTGCGCATGTTGTAGGCGTAGTTCTCCAGCGCGTTCTTGGCGTCCACCTTCTTCTTGTGCTCCTCGTCCTCCGCCTTGTACCGCTCCGCCTCCTGCACCATCTTCTCGATCTCCTCCTTGCTCAGCCGCCCCTTGTCGTTGGTGATGGTGATCTTGTTCTTCTGCCCAGTCGTCTTGTCCTCCGCCGACACGTTCAGGATGCCGTTGGCGTCGATGTCGAAGCACACCGTGATCTGGGGCACGCCGCGGGGCGCCGGCGGGATGCCAGAGAGCTCGAACTTGCCCAGGAGGTTGTTGTCCTTGGTCCTGGCGCGCTCGCCCTCGTACACCTGGATCAGGACGCCCGGCTGGTTGTCCGAGTAGGTGGAGAAGACCTGCTCCTTCTTGGTGGGGATGGTGGTGTTCCTCGGGATGAGCGTCGTCATGACGCCGCCGGCGGTCTCCAGGCCCAGGGACAGCGGCGTCACGTCGAGCAGCAGCAGGTCCTGCACCTTCTCGTTGCCCTCGCCGCTCAGGATGGCAGCCTGGACGGAGGCGCCATACGCCACTGCCTCGTCGGGGTTGATGCTCTTGCACAGCTCCTTGCCGTTGAAGAAGTCCTGGAGCAACTGCTGCACCTTGGGGATACGGGTGGAGCCACCGACCAGCACCACGTCGTGCACCGTGCTCTTGTCCATCTTGGCGTCACGGAGGCACTTCTCCACCGGCTCCATGCACTTGCGGAAGAGGTCCATGTTGAGCTCCTCGAAGCGAGCCCTGGTGATGGTGGTGTAGAAGTCCACACCCTCGTACAGCGAGTCAATCTCAATGGTGGTCTGTGCAGTCGACGACAGCGTGCGCTTGGCACGCTCGCACGCCGTACGGAGACGACGCAGAGCACGCGGGTTGCCGGTGATGTCCTTCTTGTGCTTGCGCTTGAACTCCTGGACGAAGTGGTTCACCATGCGGTTGTCGAAGTCCTCCCCTCCCAGGTGAGTGTCACCAGCGGTGGCCTTGACCTCGAAGATGCCCTCCTCGATGGTCAGGAGAGACACATCGAAGGTGCCACCACCAAGGTCGAAGATGAGGACGTTCTTCTCGCCCGTGCTGGTCGCCTTCTTGTCAAGGCCATAGGCAATGGCAGCAGCAGTGGGCTCGTTGATTATGCGCAGCACGTTCAGCCCAGCGATGGCACCAGCGTCCTTGGTGGCCTGGCGCTGGGAGTCGTTGAAGTAGGCCGGGACGGTGACCACGGCGTTCTTGACGGAGTTGCCGAGGAAGGCCTCAGCGATCTCCCTCATCTTGATGAGCACCATGGAGGAGATCTCCTCCGCAGCAAACTGCTTCTCCTCGCCCTTGTAGTTGACGACGATCATAGGCTTGTCAGCCGGGCCAGGGATGACCTTGAAGGGCCACAGCTTCATGTCACTCTGTACGGAGGGGTCAGAGAACCTCCTGCCAATCAGCCGCTTCGCATCTGCAACCAGAAACAGAGGAACAGAACATTTGAGTTGCATGGTTCAGCAATGAACTGCGATGGTTTACTGAAATGAAGCAGAACAGAACATTTCAAGGTTCCACAGAGATTAATAATGCAAGCAAGCTGTTTCTTCAGAACAAGAGGTACATTCAGTAAGCTACTGCAGACTGGGACTGTTCCAGAAGGATAACCGAGAACAGAAATTTAAAATTAACAAGCATAATTTCAATCAAACACCATTTTCTGAAGGATTTACAGGATGCAACGATACAGCGAAACCCATGTTCAATTCGGAATATCATCCAATCAATAGCAAAACATGATTCAACACTTTCAATCATAAGGTAGCCTGTGGACATAATTCGAGTATTCTTTTCTGAAGCATGTATAACTTAAGAATCTAGTGCTGCAGTATAACTAATTTTCATCTACAGCATAATTTCAACCAACCAACTTAATTCTAACCCTCCATTCTGAAGGATCTACTACTGAACCATGCAGAACAAACAACTGAGCACCTTCAGAACAAAAAACATAACAGCATTTCGACCAGTATAAACAAAGAGCAGCCATGCCAATAAACTAATAATAAATTCTGTGATAGATCAGATAAACACGGGACTGCGGCACACAATCGACAGCAGCTGCTGCAACTAATTTAAATAAGACTAGATCTATAGCGTATTTTCAATCATAAGGTAGGATCCCAACTTAACTCAAGCCATCCATTCCTAAGGATCTAATTTGACAATCTGACATAGAACAAATCTCAGAAACAGGGGACTACAGCATGCCAAACAACAGAGAACAGACATGCAGATATGAACCAATTATAAATCTGTAATTAATCTCAGAGACAAGGGACTGCGTGACGGATTCGGCAACAGCCACATCCGATTATTCAGAGCAAATCATATCGCATCGTGCGCGTAAGAACAGAACAGGGACCGCAGGCAACCACGGAGATCTCATCTAACAGACGACGCATGATACTACACAGCGGGTCGAGAGGGAGGGATGGAGGGGGGGCGCACGTACCGAAGACGGTGTTGGTGGGGTTCATGGCGACCTGGTTCTTAGCGGCGTCGCCGATGAGGCGCTCGGTGTCGGTGAAGGCGACGTAGGAGGGCGTGGTGCGGTTGCCCTGGTCGTTGGCGATGATCTCGACGCGGTCATGCTGCCACACGCCGACGCAGGAGTAGGTCGTCCCGAGGTCGATGCCGATCGCCGGCCCCTCGCCCTTGGCCATCTCCGCCTCCTCTCCTCTCCTGGGAATCGCTCGCTCGCTTTGGGGTTCGCCGGAATATTGGGACGGCGGCGCTCTCTGTGTGATTTGCCTGGTGCGATTTGCTTTGCCTCTCTCTGATTTGATTTCGAACGGAAGTGGGGAGGGAGGGCCGGAGAGGGGAGGGTTTTATGGCGGAGGCGGCCGGGTCTGGAATGTTCTGGTGCGTGCGATCCCGGCCGTCGGATCGGGGGAGGGGTGATGGTTCTGGAAAGGTCCGGAGTGTGCGGGGCGGGGCGGGGTGGCGGTGGGGTGGGGTGGGGTGGGGTGGCCCACGCGCGGGCGCTTCTGGTGGTGGTGCTGGTAGGTTCTACAATGTGCACGAGCATGGTAGGCTACTGTGGAGAGACGGTGGGAGGAGCACGCGTCGGGTGGATAGCACGCGCGGAAGGAAAAACCTAGGATTCTAAAAAAAATATCATCACATTTTTTTGAGCAATTTTTTACCATCACATCGTCCTTAGCTTCTGCCTGCCTTGCCCTGCATGGGTAATTGGCCCAGGCCTTAGTCTCGGCCCACGTACGTCAGTACATGTCGTTCGCTAAAAATAAAAAAATCTTCATGAGTATGCCAAAATATATGAAAGGCTTGGGCTTTAGAGAATTTGAAATTTTCAACTTGGCCCTTCTGGCTAGTCAGGCGTGGAGGATTCTTGAAAATCCCGGATCTCTCAATGCTAGAATTTTGGAAGCCGCATACTATCTTGACACGGATTTTCTTTCAGCGGAGCTTGGGGGCCACCCTTCTCAAATTTGGAGAGGAGTAATTGAAGGAAGGGACACTATGAAGATGAGACTAATAAGGCGGATAGGCAATGGCAACTCTACAAACATCTGAAATATGAACTGGATCCCCAGGAAGGAGAACATGGGGCCCATTTGTCTCGCTAATTGCCTAGCCACCCCAGTTCGTTTCCGAATTGTTGGATCGAGCCAATGCACTATGGAATACACAATTCATCCAGCAAGTTTTTCTGCCCTATGATACTTCGGCTACACTACAGATTCCAATGAGTACACGATTGATAGATGACTTCTGGTCGTGGGATTTTGAAAAGAACTGCATATTTTTGGTTCGATCAGCATACAAGATGATAGTTGCAACAAATAGGAGGATGGAGGACTAGTTAGAAGAAAGAGTTGGGTCATCGAATAATAAAAGCGAATGAGAAAGCTTGGGACACTCCGTGGAAGGTAGCCGTGCCGGCAAAGCTAAAGACATTTTTATGGTGCTTAGCAAAAAACTCACTATCAATTGAAGATGTTCTCAAGCACATAAAGATGTCTCACCATGATGCTTGCTTTGTATGCGGCGCGCGGGACTCTTGGCGTCACAACTTGCTTGAGTGCAACATGACGCGATGTGTCTGGGTTTTGGTAGATCACGACCTCCTTGACCATATGATTGCAACCACTGAACCATTAGCACGAAGTTGGATTTTTTCCATGCTATTATATTATCAATCTTGGATGTTTTATATGCATTTATATACTATTTTATATGATTTTTGGGACTAACCTATTAACCTAGAGCCCAGTGTCAGTTTCTGTTTTTTCCTTGTTTTAGAGTATCGCAGAAAAGGAAAATCAAACGGAGTCTAATTAACCTGAAACTTCAGGGAACTTATTTTTGGACCAGAAGAAGCCCACAGAGTATCGGAGATGGACCAGAAGAGTCCCGGGCTGCCCACGAGGGTGGGGGGCGCGCCCACCCCCTGGGTGCGCCCCCTGCCTCGTGGACAGCCCGGAGATCCACCAACGTACTTCTTCCTCCTATATATATATCCATATACCCTAAAAACTTCGGAGAGCAGAATAGATCGGGAGTTCCGCCGCCAGAAGCCTCCGTAGCCACCAAAAATCAATCTAGACCCGTTCCGGCACCCTTCCATAGGGGGGAATCCCTCTCCGATGGCCATCTTCATCATCCCGGTGCTCTCCATGACGAGGAGGGAGTAGTCCACCCTCGGGGCTGAGGGTATGTACCAGTAGCTATGTGTTTGATCTCTCTCTCTCTCTCATGTTCTTGAGGTGATACGATCTTGATGTATCGCGAGCTTTGCTATTATAGTTGGATCTTATAATATTTCCCCCTCTCTACTCTCTTGTAATGGTTTGAGTTTTCCTTTGAAGTTATCTTATCGGATTGAGTCTTTAAGGATTTGAGAACACTTGATGTATGTCTTGCATGTGCTTATTTGTGGTGACAATGGGATATCACGTGATCCACTTGATGTATGTTTTGGTGATCAACTTGCGTGACCTCGTGAACTTATGCATAGGGGTTGGCATACGTTTTCGTCTTGACTCTCCGGTAGAAACTTTGGGGCACTCTTTGAAGTTCTTTATGTTGGTTGAATAGATTAATCTGAGATTGTGTGATGCATATCATATAATCATATCCACGGATACTTGAGGTGACATTGGGGTATCTAGGTGACATTAGGGTTTTGGTTGATTTGTGTCTTAAGGTGTTATTCTAGTACGAACTCTAGGATAGATTGAACGGAAAGAATAGCTTTATATTATTTTACTACGGACTTTTGAATAGATCGATCAGAAATGATAACTTTGAGGTGGTTTCGTACCCTACCATAATCTTTTCGTTTGTTCTCCGCTATTAGTGACTTTGGAGTGACTCTTTGTTGCATGTTGAAGGATAGTTATGTGATCCAATTATGCTACTCCCTCCGTTCTTTGATATAAGGTGTATAGATTTTTGAGAAAAAACCCAAAATATAAGGTGTATTGCATTGCACCACTCGTTTGGATATTTTTTTAGGGATTTGATTACATTTCCTTATATTAGGCAAGCTCCTCTATTTTCTCATGCCAATTAGTCAGGTGTAATCTCGCTCAAAACTTGTGAAATTTTCCCTCCACGTGCGTTCTTTAATTTCCGTGCCAAAAACTATACACCCTATATTTAGGAACGGAGGGAGTATTATTGTTGAGAGAATTTGCACTAGTGAAAGTATGAACCCTAGACCTTGTTTCAACGCATTGCAATACCATTTATGCTCACTTTTATCATTAGTTACCTTGCTGTTTTTACATTTTCAGATTACAAAAACCATTTTATACTATCCATATTGCACTTGTATCACCATCCCTTCGCCGAACTAGTGCACCTTTACAATTTACCATTGTATTGGGTGTGTTGGGGACACAAGAGACTCTTTGCTATTTGGTTGCAGGGTTGTTTGAGAGAGACCATCTTCATCCTACGCCTCCCACGGATTGATAAACCTTAGGTCATCCACTTGAAGGAAATTTGCTACTGTCCTACAAACCTCTACACTTGGAGGCCCAACAACGTCTACAAGAAGAAGATTGTGTAGTAGACATCAGTATGCTTGCGGGAAATTAATCCACGAAGGGATCAACCAAAGCCCTTATGCAACACATAATTTTGTTACTAACTTTATTGAGGAGCTTGATCAACTTGCAATGCCACCAGAACCACATGTGATAACATCTACGGTACCTCAGAATCCTCGACAGTGGCTCCCAACATCGGAGGGATCCATAAAATTCAATGTGCACTACAAAAAAATACACTTCCGTGATGATACGTGTTTGTCACAGTAGGTCGCTTTTTTTGTCATCGTAGAAGTGTTCCATGACATTACCAAAATTATCATCACGGAAGTGTCCACTTCCATGACGATAAATCGTGCGTCACAGAAGTGCTTTCGTCAAGGGTGACCGACACGTGGCATCCACCGTAACGGAACGCCGTTAAACTATCGGGTTGGGTTTTGGATCCGATAACCCGTTAACAGCCCCGACCAATGGGGATTTCCACGTGTAAAATCATCATTGGCTAGACGAAACACGTGTCGGCTCATCGTTGGGACAGATGTCAACCACTCATTGGATGGAAGGCGCCTATGATACGTCGACACGTGGCACGGCCCAACAAAGGCCCATTCTTGTGAAAACGCCGGCCCATTTGACTTGGTCAAAAGGTGGCGGGCCGGCCATGGAAAGCCTGTTAACGACCTGTTCGCATATAGCCCATTTACAGCCCGCTAACCCAAGACCCGTTACGCCCTATCCGAATTAGGCCTAGTAGCGTCATATGATCCATCCAATATGATTCCAGACCGTTTTCACTTATGGCCCATGTATGTCCCATGACGTCTTTCGGCCCATATGAGGCACTATGTAACTCTTGGCCTATTAACGACCCGTGGTGAAATTGGCCCGTAATGAACAGTGTATCACTTTACACCCATTAACGGCCCGTGGTGAAACTGACCCGTAATGAATAGTGTATCACTTTATACCCATTAACGGCCCGTTATTCCGTTGGGTCGTTTCCAGCCCATGTTATCTTTCGGCCTTCTCAGAGCCCATTTATTTTTGGGCTCATTTCCAGCATTCATTTACTTACGGCCCGTTACTGTCATTTTCTGCTTGTGGGCCAAATTCAGCCCGTGGTTACAGTCGGCCCGTTTGTGGTACGTTAATACGTTGGGCCGTTCATAGCATCATCAAATACGGCCTATTAACGATGGCCCGTTACGGTCGGCCCATGAACGGACAATTCCAACTCTAGCCCGTTTACGGCCATAATGCGGCCTGTTATTGGCCCATGTTTGGCCAATCGATCATACGGCCGTATAAGGCCCATTGATGATACGGCCCGTAGAAGGCCCACTGTTTCTACGGCCTGTAAGAGGCCGAGTGTCACTACAGTAAATATTAGCCCATGGTTATTGTGGCCTAGTTTTAAAAATTAGGTTATTGCAGCCACTAGTTAACCGCGGAAAAAGAACTGCAATGACTACAAGCAAACAAATAAACAAGACAACAAGGAAATAAATAAGCAAGCAACTAAGGCTAGGCTATCACGGCTATTACACATATTATATCCACTGGGCATCAAAGTTCGCCACCAGTGCAAATATAGGGAACAAAGCAGCATATCATATACACTGGCCGTCAAAATTGGCCAC